ATCAAATGAATATCTCGATTTCCATAAATGACCTTATAACTACAAAAGCTTTGGCACAATAAAAATAAAAAATTGTTCTTATTTCAATGGTATACAGATTTTACTTGATTATGAGAGGAATCAGAATAGCAAATTCATCAACACAAGAACTTGAAAACACTGCAAATTCTCAAGTTTTTGCCACTACATGAATTTGCTACTCTAGCAAAATTTTACCTCAGAATTCTACTTTGTAAAGAAATCTCCTAAAATAAAATAAGTAAGATGGTTACACAGCCTGCAAATAAAATCTATATACCTACTTTATTCTGCAAATAAATAACTAGGAAGGATAAAGGTTGTTTTAATAAGTCCTTTACAATGAGTATATTAATGCCATGAAATTTTTGTAAGAGGGCAGCAAACAGGATTAGAAAACATCAAAACAGCTCAGTCATATAAAACAAACCATGCGCCTTCTTCTCCACATGTGTGTCCACAAATTCAATAATTCGTTGGTGCGTAAAGGCTTCACAAGATAGTCTGCTGCTCCGAGCCTTAAGCACTTAACAACAATTGGGACTTCATCTTGTGCCGACATCACTTATCAAGGAAAAACCAATTCAACAATCAGAATAAGATAAACATACCATTAAGGAAACTAGATGTAGATATAGCTAAACATGCTCACTGATCACAGGAATGCGACGCAGCTCTTTATCCCTCATGATGTACTTCAACATCTTCATGCCTTTTTTCATTGGAAGGTCAACCTCGGCAAGTATGATATCTATATCAGGTCCCTCTGCATTGAGTACATCAATGACTTGTCTAGCTGACTTCACCGAAGTAACTGTAAAAAGAATTCCAATCATTGACAAAAGATACGTCAAATAGACCAAATATTCTATTTTCTTTAGCAGTCACAATTTTTATTTTTATTTTTTTGGAGAAGATAGCAGACCCAAAATTCAATTGAATGTCGAGGCAGCAAGTTCCAAGCCCGACTTATACTAAACTAAGCCACTAGAATTTCATTTTAATGCCATTCTCCTTAAAATCCTTTATCTCAAATGTGCTTACCTATGATTTAAAATTATTCAGCTGTTGATTTATGCAAATGGATCATAGAAGAAAACATTAAAAAAAAAAAAAATTTATCAGGTACTCTAATTGGTAAAACCAAATAAAGACAGTCTCTTTTGGTTGTTTGAGAACAACTCGTGACTGAATTTATTGATTCCTCATCTAAACACATTTACAACCAAGTTTCCATTATCTGCTTCATAACAATCCACGACCTCATCTTATTTTTTTAATTAAGAAAAAAAGAAACATATTCTAACAATCCTGTTTTATTTAAAGCCATCGCATTTAAAATATTGAGTTCCACAATGAAAATTTCCATAGAACCAGGAAAAAGGAACGAAAGACAAAAACAAGTAACTACTTCCAAAAAGAATATGTAGCATGATCAACCTCCATTAGAGCATGTAAAAATTAAATAGTCGGAAGAACACCTCAGAAATTACATCTAGCTAAAAACTGAAATACAGAAAATGCCATTAAATTAATTGAAACATGTCAGGCAACCAAAAGGTTATAATACCCTGATACGAGCATTTCAAGAGGAGCGTGAAAACCTCGTCCAGACTCTTGTTATCGTTATCGCAAAGCAAAATCCTTACTTTGCTCCTATCAATAAATCCATCTCCACCCATGTACTCCTTGTTCAAATTCAGCTCCTTACCCTCCATTACCTCCCTTTTCCTCGAGTTCCCTCTCCCCCAGAACCAAATCCAACACTAACTTTTAGTCAATACTGAAGAAAAAGGCCAGACATCAGGCATGAAGCATCTTCTCTATATCCTGAACTGAGACCGGTATTAGGGTTAGGGTTTCGGGTTTAGGGTTTGATCAGAAACTCCATTTATGGATCCCTGATACTGTTCGTACATGCGCCACTGAAATGGATAACGTAATTGGCTATAAAATCGCGTGTATCCTATCACTGTACGGTAGTAGAGCAGGTTATCAACATCCATAGACGGCAAAAGAAAGTCAGGCAAGCAACAGCGGGGAAAGCTTTTAGTCTGCAAAATGGACGGTAGAGACAGAGAAAGGGGGCGGGCCGAGGGAAGAAGGAAACCAACGGCTAGGATTCAGAATCAACGGAGAACACGAGCAGTTCAGCCTGCTCCCCTACAGCTCCCGGGGACTGCAACGGAAAAACCAGAGGGAGAGAATTTTGGAGAAACTGTGAAGCTTTATTTATTTTTTAAATTTAAAATAAAATGAGAAATTGTTGAAAGTCCATAGAGAAGGACACTAGACGATACTAACATGCGCTGAAGAAGAGAGATCATCCGGAGAGTAGAAGTTTAGAAGTATGGACGGCTGAGATCGTATCCGTGGGTGCGTAGTGCGCATAAGGGAGTAGGAGAATGACGTGGACGATGAGGAGGACAGATGAGAGAAAAGCGCAAGAAAAAGTGAGAGTGTTTGGATAGTTTGGTAGAGATGGAAAGAAAGCCACGTCACCCATAAAAAGATCTTTAAATAAAAATACCATATATGAATTTAAAAAAATAAAAAAAAAAAAAGAAAAAAGAAATTTAAACAAGTAGGAAAATGTAGACCAGCCATGTGAGGTGTGTAATTTGAAAATTTTAATTAAAAGAGTTTTTAGTGGTAGATTTTGATTAAAATATTAGAATAAGTTAGGGAGAGAGTATTATTGCACGTGTGAATTGCCTAACTTTAGGTGCTTGGGGCAATTGGTGGTGAAATTAATTTATGTGTTTCTTTTTTCTTTTTTTTTTTTTTTTTTATAACTCAATTTTTTAAGCTTTGAAAGGAAGAATTGGAAAGACACCCCTAAATATGTATAAAATACAGGCTGCTTTCTCCTCTTTAGTGCCTTGACTTGGCACCCTACGTTTATTATCCAAAATAAACCATCAATTTGTTAACTACGTGTATGGTCTCATGTTTCATTTTGACTTTTTTTTTTTTTTTTTTTTTAATTTTTTTTATTTTTCCAAATTTTTTTCATTAATTTAAAATAGTTTATTTGGTACTTTATAAAAAAAAAACTCCCTAACTCGTTGTCTTTAAAAAAATATATATATATATTTATTAAGATCTCAAGAAATATAAAATTATTTAAAATTTTAAATAATGTTTTTTGAAATAATATTCCCATTATGAAATCAAGAGTTCAACTCCTAATTAGGAATCATTAATCACAACTTTATTGGTATTATTACCCCGTAAGCTCCTATTTGTGTACCATCCTTAATTTTTTGAATTCTTACATTGTTAGATCCTCTTTAGTTATTAATCTTTTCAATAGCTTTTAAATCAAATGTCGATGAATGGATAGCACTCAGCATTTTGGACTTAAAGCTTGTTAGCAAAAAACAAAAAAAAAAAAAACATAATGACAAACCCACTCATTTTTTAATTGAAACTTTACATTGCATATTGTACTTTATGCACATTATTTAAATTTATGATTAATTAAAAACTATCTTTTACAAAAGATTAAAGGTTTATTCTTGATAAATTTAATTAATAATTTAAAATTTTTAAGAATTAAATAATTTAAAAAATAAATAATTAAAAAAGAGTACGTGAAGATCTTTATAATTATATAAACTCATAAGTAATTAAGCATATATTCATTCATCTGTTGACATCTGATAGTTTCTCCATTCTTAAAAAAAAAAAAAAAGATAGGTGCTCTAATTTCTTGTGAGACTAAAGTGATACAAAAAGTGGAGAATAAAAGCATGGTTTGCAAGCAGGATTGCAACACAGTATTAGTATTAAAAACAAGAAAGTGGCAGATTATAAGAAGCTTTTAATTTATCTCTCAACTTTTTGGTTGTTAGGCTAGTAGATGTATTGTAATCTAAGTTTACGAAACAAATAAATAAGCTAAATGTAACGATTCAAAACTAGAAAGAAAATAAATTATAAATTAAATACGGAAACAAAATAATAGCGTTAGAGTTTACATTTCTTATACAATAATTCAGAATATCCAATAGGGTTACAGGAATAACTCTTCTAATAGAACAATGAAAAATCAAAGAAATAAATGGAAAGTAAACAACTGGACATCCTATTCGCAACCCTCTTGTGGATCGGGATATGAATCTTGATCTAAAATGGTTAATGAAAGAGTGAGCTACACTAATCCAGTAAGAATATCACACTACTCACAAAAATCATGAAAACAACTAATTAAACTCTTAATTTAAATAAATTTATTTATAATAAATAAAATCATTTATTGTATACTTACCGTAGCGAAATTTCCAAAACTGACCTATAGAGGCAATATCACAAACAATATCATAATCTCATATTCAATTAAGCAGAACAATAACTTTTCCTTTTTATCTACCTACTGGTATCCATGGGGGTCCATAGGGATGTCCTCACTACGCGTGAATCTTTATTCAACATTGTCAACTAACCAGCCGTCTTCATACTTCGTCCGGTATGAGCACTAAAAATATCATCCTTCAATATTCCGTCCGATATGAGAGCCAAAATACCAATTCTCGATACCTCGTCCAGTATGAGCGCTAAAAATATCATCCTTCAATATTCCGTCCGATATGAGTGCCAAAATACCAATTCTCGATACCTCGTCTGGTATGATGCAACATTCACGGTAGGGTTCCCTATGTACCCGATCCATCCACCATCTCTCAGAATATCCAGTAAGACTACCATTCATTCATTCACTTAATCAAACAATTCCTCGTTTACTTATTTTCAATTTTACAATTTAACTGTAAATCACGCAAAATAAGCAATACATGCATCAAGAAAACACAACTGAATCATCTTACTAACTCCAGTGTATTATTATGCATTTAAAACTATAAAATCAATCAATCAGTTAAAACATGATAAACAGTAATAAATAACCGATTTCGGCTCCATTAGTAACCTGTGATTAATTATTAAAATTTTTTAAATTGTACAAAATACTACGTTATTTATAATTAAACTTCAATTCCATAACAAGGAATAGGGTGATGGATTCTTACGTGAATCGGTGTCTGAACACTAAATTTTCAGTTGTGCCTACTAGCGATACCTGAGTTCGCTGAATTTTTCTTCAGAGATTAAAACACGCTATAAATACCTATAAATATTTTAAAAATCTAAAATTGGTGCTAAAACCCTTTTCTGGCCAATTTCAAAATTCTGGCATGGCGGCACTGCCGTGCTCCAGCGGCAGTTTACCTCGGACTGGCCGTTTTCAACCAGTTTCGGCCATTTTCAACCGATTTTCTACTTATCCTTGCGAGAAAACACTTTAAGGGGCCTCAGTTGACCAAAAACGTCAAAAAACAAAAGCTTACCGGCGGCAGAGTTTTCCTGTGCAGCGGCTCTGCCGGCTCACCTTCATGGTTGGACATTTTTTTTCGGTCAACATGTGAAAAACATAATGGTAAATATAATGGTATAAAAATTGCATGAAACAGGAATCGGGAAGGGCCTCATCGGATGCTTTTTTTATTTTTCCCGCAACAACGATGTCGGACTTTACCCGCGATTTTTGGCTCATCCGCTGGTCCTTTTGCTCTAATTTGGTCATATGGGTGTTCAAAATTAAATTTCGAGCGAATAGAGAAAATTTTTACCTTTTTGGCGGTCGGAGGTGGCTCCATCACGACGGCGGGCGGCAATCGGCTCCCTTCTCCGGTGACTAGTTCTTCTTCTCCGGCGGGGGGGGGGGCTGGCAGCTAGAATTAGGATTCGGTGTGAAGTGAGGTATTTATATCCATCTCCTTTTAATCTAGGCTGTTTATCACGTTTAATTTCGATCGTCCGATCGTATTTAAATAAGAAATAAATCTGGACCGTACAATCATGCCTGAGGAGGGAACGGATCCGGATTGTCCACGCGCACAGGAACAAATCTGGACCGTCCGATCGCGGACAGGTGAATTGCCAGCATGGCCTCCCGCGTGGCACCGCATCAGAGTGTCTTACCACGCAGCATGCTCCGATTCGTCGGGGCTGCTGACTAGGCAGTTCTACATAGCATATTTTTCTTAAATTATGTTTTGACCCCCAATTTTCGTTTTTTTTCAAAAATACTCCCATAATCTAAATTTTTACCCATTTTTTTCAAAATTATTTTCGATTTCATCATCCACCTATTTTTCTTAATTTTTACATTAAATAAAAATCATAAATTAAAAAATTATATTTTATACATTAATTTTAATTTTTTTAAAAACAATTAATTCTGGGTATTACAACTTTCCCTCCCCCTAAAAGAAATTTATTCCCTCAAATTCGTCTCTCTCTCACTCAATCAAACAGTTGGGGATACTAGACTCTGAAGTATAATTCTAGCTCCTATGTAGCCTCTCCCTGTGTGTGATTCTGCCATAGAACCTTAACAAAGCGAATTTTTCAGTTGCAGAGTATTTTGCTCTTTCGGTCCACAATACCAACTGGTACCTCCTCATAAGACACATTCTCTTGGAGAGAAAGGGGCTCGTGGGCCAAGACATGTGAGAGGTCCAGGTTGTACTTACGTAGAATGGACATATGAAACACATTATGGACCTTAGATAGTTCTGAAGGTAGTGTCAGTCTGTAGGCGGTGGTGCCAACTCTGTCTAAGATTTCAAATAACTCAATAAACCGGGGATTTAGTTTTTTTCTCTTGTCAAACCTACTGATTCCTTTGAAATGAGTGACCTTAAGGAACACCCAATCACCTTTCTCAAATTTCAAATTCCTCCTCCAGGTATCCGCATAACTCTTCTGTCTACTCTAAGCTGTCTGGATGTTCTTCTTGATCTTAAGTATATTGGTTATAGTCTCCTCCATAAGGTCTGGACCGAATAATTTTCTATCACCCACCTCTTTTCAACAAATCGGCGATCTACATGGGCGACAATACAATGCCTCATACGTAACCATGCAGAACCATGCCGATACTTGCTTGGTAACAATTATTGTAGGCGAACTCTATTAGGGGTAAATGATCATCCTAATAGCCCTTGAAGTTAAGAACATAAGCTCGGAGCATATCTTATAGTGTACGAATCGTCCTTTTTGATTGTCCATCGGTCTGATGGTGGAATGCAGTACTAAGGGACAGTTTCGTTCCCATGGCTTGATGAAAACTAGACCAGAATCGAAAAATGAACCTGAGGTCCCCATCGAACACTACTGTCACTGGTACTCTATGTAACCTGACTATCTCCCAGATATACATTCTTACTAATTCGTTCAAGGAATCGGT